GGGGTGGAATGCGCTTCACCTCGGCGGTGGGGAAGGAGGCAGAGGGATGAGATGTGCTGCTGATGATTGCAGCTGCTGATGCAAGTCCGGAGGGGGATGCAGTCTGCAGCTGCAGTCTGTCAACACAGCGGGGTGCAATAGGCGGGCCAAAAGCTAAATTGGATGATGTATGTAACTGTATGCAGTGGTATTACCACACCGCGGTGCGGTGACCTGCCGGTACCGCGTACGCATAGATTCAACGCGGTTGTATAATGTGCATGAATATAGGTATGCCGTCACGGCGGCTTTGTTGCTCGTCTTGCGTCAGGCGCTTGATCTCGCTTACACTCGCTGCTGCTGCTGGTCTGAGACGCGTTGACGCAGATGGGGGAAATGTAGGCGGGTCGCGCAGCTTAGGTTCATGGGACCTCTTCAACTCCGGCACCTAAGATCTACCTCTACATAGCTCGATCCGCTCGATAACTGACTTGACAAGATGAGGCTTCTGCTCAGTGTACCACGCGGTGAGTTGCCGGTCTCACACAACGAGTCTTGCCGGGTCTCCTCGAGTCAAAGTGTTGCTGGTGCACTCACGGTTCACGGTCCATCATGGATTTGGCTTTACCAATGCGCACTTCATCAATTGCGCGGCACCACGAGCGCTCAATCAAGAAAGTTTGAAGCAGGGTGTGAGATGACTCTTCTTGTCAGCGCCCAACCATGAGAATGAGCTCATGTCATTTGTGAGTGAAATTACACTCATCAGACTCTTGACTGTGACTTGACCTTTCAATCACAATGACCGAGGGCAATTTGCCAGGAACCTGATGAGCCGTGATATGCTGCGCGAATTTGTCGACGATGTGTCGTATATTCGTGATGGTTCGCGATCCAATCTTCAACCCCGCCTGCCACGGTCCCGCTCGATCGAAGCGAATGTTGCCCAAAAGACACAAAAGCTTGGCTGGCCGCATACAGTCATGCACCATCAGTGTGCGTACCGGACCTTTGTGGCTTTTACAAGGCCATCAAGCCCGCATGCGCTGTGCAGCAAAAGTAGCCCCAACCAGCAACGTATACGCGTATACACGTGCCATTTCAGCAAAACAACCCGAGGCCTCATGCTGCATACAGGCACGCGCTTGAGCAACCCATCGGAGATTTGCTCATCCTTCTTTCGCCCCGCATCATGCAGCTACATAGCTGCAAGCTGCCCGCCCAGCTGCCTAGCTGCCCAGCTTATTGTCGGTGCATAGCTGATGCGAGACCCGCTTTTCGTACCAGTATGATGTATGTAATCGCGTATATGCTGATGAGTGTATACGGAAGCAACCCATGCGGTAGCCAGCTTTGCTGGCGGCATGCACATGTGCTGCACTCGTTGACTACTTGTCGACCCAGCTGAGGCCTGATGGATTGCTAGAGCCGCCTTATACTTGCGGACAATTAAGCGACGCCCCCCCGCGGCCGATGGTACGCAAGGTG